TGAGGATGGGTATTATACTCCCCGCCCCACCCCGTACCCGTTATATATATTAATTAATAAATTATATATATATATATATATACGATGTATATTAACCGGTAGTTCACAATTTTTTATTTTTTAACTAGGTTTATAATCTAAAATTGGTATTTTTGAATGTTATTATGTAATATTTTGAATGTCAAGTCAAAATACAATTACTCGATAAGTTTTATATATTACTTGATATGGCTTTATATTACTCAATATTTTTTTTGTATTAAATTAAATTTATTTTGGTATTTTTGTATTAAATTAAATTCATTTTGGTTTTAGATTTATTGAAAATGTTTGAGATTTAAACATGTATGGTCTCTCACATATTTAATTTAAAATAACTTACATAAACAGAAAAAGAAATCCCCATTTCCTCGTTGGGAATGAGGATGGGGATGTGATTATCTTCCCTAACGGGGATGGGGACGGGGATAGAGATAAGTAATCATGGATGGGGATGGGGATAAAGATAAGTAATCAGGAAGAGGGACGGAGATTGAGGTCCCTGTCCCATTCCCATTAACAAAAATTATTGTTCTAAATATTTGAGATATTACATCTAATATATTAAAACAATTAGTACGTCACACAAAATTATATAAAACCAAAATACATTACACTTACATATTATCTATCATGACTTAGGATCATGTGAGACCAAAGGTTTTTCGTGAGACCCGTAAGATTAATTTTCAACCTTTGGATTAGATCTACAATATGACAATCTGAACATTCATAAACACCACAAGACTTCTCAATAATCACAAAATTGTCACTGTGCAACTTTAGACCATTAGATCATTAGCTTATAAAGTTGATCAATGAACATAAATTGGTCTTACGGGTCTCACAAAAAACATTGTTCTCACGTGAACCCATTCCTATCTATCATATTGAAAATCAAATAAATACTAAGTTTTTTTTTACTATGGTAAATAATTAATTTTATGATTTTTAATAAAACTAGAAGGGTACTCATGCGATGTATCGAGACATATTTCCATTTTAATGTTTCGTTTTATTTTTTATCCATGCCGATATAATATGATTTTATGTGTTTTTGAGAAAATGATAATATTTTTATTTTTGAATAAAAGATAAACTTGAAAATATCATATAAAATTTGCAAAAAATATATTAATATTAGTATCAAGTTAACTATTTAAAAGTTCTTGTTTGTATATTTTTTTTAATTCAAATTTTTTATTATAATTTAATTTAACATAACGAAGTAATAATTATATTTTCTTATAAAGGTAATAATTAAGTATTCTGCTAGATATTAATAATTATCCTAATTATATTTTAGATTTTTTATATTTTAAAATGAGATGTTTATCCTCTATTTGATTAGGTTTATCCGCAGTTAGTTATACGAATTCAAACATAAAACTTTAATAAGTTGTACTTACGCACAATTTAGTTGTAATCTTGAATTTTAAGTAATATGCATCAATAAACAGTATTTCATGCATAAAAAATGGTTTTTAAGAGTTTTTTTCAAATCCTTTATAATATAGTATAAATAATGACAAGAATATGATTTTTATTAGGGTAAAAAACATCAAAATTACAAGTAAATGACTTTTTTATTATGCAGTCACCTGCATTCGTTTTTCAGGCTTGTTGGACAGATTCAACAGAGAGTTCGAAAGTCAGGAGCCGACCTTGATTCGTTTTATAGAGATTAAAAAAGGATTTTAAGTAATCTAGATCTAGATTTCTTGATGTAGAAGATGACTTTTTCTTCACCTTTGTTGCAATGCTAGGAGAGAAAAATGGTGGTGATATCACCCCTCTTCATTTTTGTGGTCGTCGATTGACGGTGGTAACCACCTGAACAACAAGATTTCATTCTTGTTCCCCGACTTCAAAAAACAGAGGGACACGTTGCTTTCACCACTGAAATTGATGGGAACAAAGAAGCAGATTCTAGTGAGTACGACCTACAACCACTGGTGATTGACGAGAGTGGCAACGATGATGAGATTCATTAAATCCAGTTGTGTTCTAAGCTTTTTTGTACTGATTCAACCAAATCAAACCAGGGCCGTTCTTGGGCCTGTTAAATTTGGGATTCAGAATAGGGCCCCCAACATTTTGGGGCCCAATTTCACAGCCCATATGGATATACCTCTATGAATCGGCCGGCTAAGGTTTCAGTTTGGGCGTTTGGCGATTTCTGGACTGCTGGACAAGGACGAGTGGACGACATTGGACCAGAACCAGACGCGCGCCTCGTGCCCTCGACCCTTCACCCTCGTCGCCTCTATCTCCCCTCTCCTATCTATCTGTCCCTTCCTCGATTGTCGATTGAACTCTTCAAAATGGCTAATGATTTGGTTTCAGAATCTTCAGATATGCAACCACTGTAACACCCTGAATTTCATCAAGGGAGATGTTACGTAATCTAAAACATTTCCTTAATAAATACACCAAAGTAATGGCTAATTTAAAACCATTTAAACTATTACAGCGGAAGTCTTTGAATCATCAAAATCTAACTTAAGTTCTAACCCACCTTCTCTTGGGGTTAAGTTACAAAAGATCATTACAGCACATCTTAGACAAAAGACTAATATGAGATGAAAATGAGCAACTCTTTAAGCATGTCCCTTGCCTTTATCTGTCCTCGAACTATCTGGGCCTGAGATGCATACTATAGTCAGCTTATAAAGCTCAGTGAGTTCATGGTTTTCGTGTATAAAATCATTGTACGTCATACATTTCAACTTATAAACTTTGTACCACGTAGCATGCAATTTCTGAAAACATGCAACACTGAAAGAAATGAGATCTCATAAATTATCTGTCTGGAATGGGTCATTTAGTCACAAACACACCCTGGGTTGATACTTCATTCTCGATTGATTACCCACTTGTCCGGGTAGTGTTTCATACTGGTCGTGACTTATTAGTCACCAACACGCCCTGGGTATCAAAATCTTAACTTATCACCCACTTGTCCGGGTAGTGTTTTATACTGGTCGTGACTCACTGGTCAAATGCCCACCCTTAAATCATCAAACCTTGGTATGGAAAAACATGCTAGAGTTTTCGAAAACTGATTAAACACATAGCATGCAACTGATCATAAAACGTCATACATGTAAAACATATCATGTATGTAAACTTAAAACATCATGCATTTGTACCATCATCATATAAATCGTATAGTGCTTGAAAATAAGTTTATACATAGGTATGCATCCCATTGTAAGTCTCATGAAGACTCACCTGATAACGTCGATTGCTTACTTAACGGCGCTGACTGGTAACCTACAATTTATAATAGCGAATAGTACATAAATAATAAATTTCTCCAAGGACTATAAAAGTCAACTTACGGTCAACTATGTCGACTAGGGTTATCATTGGTCAACTTTCGCTTGTTATTTAAAAGTCTTATCAAGCCATCGGGGCTAAGGATGAAACTCTAAGGCTGCCTCTGTTATTTAAAAGTATTTACCTCTAAATGACGGGAAGCAGGGGGGTTTCTTGCTGGTATGAACTCCGGCTTCTCTCTTTCAAGCTCAACGATTCCCTTCTTCTCTTAAAAGAATAACGACCCCAACATGGTGCCCTCAATTTATACTCGCACGATTTAGCCTATTAGTTGACCAAATCGGCAGAATCCTGAGTTTTGGGCCGGGAACTGCTCTCTTCCACAACCTGCAACCATGCAGGTCACAGTTTCCTCTTATGGTCCATGCACCGCCTGATCCTCTGCTGCTTCTCCCTAATTGGCAGCAGGCTCCCCCTCGAATTGGATCCTTCAGCCATCAGCCGTAAGTGAAACAAATTTGACTTATTTCAACTTCTAACTTTTATTTAACATATATATATATATATATATGTATATTCATAAATAAAATAGAAATAATAATAAGGTTGCATTATTTTATTTCCTCGAAATTTTTGGGTTTTACAACCACAACTAGAACAACGGTCATATTTTAGATTATTTTTGTTAAGTATAGATACATGTTTGATCGATTTGTTGATTACTCGTTATCTGATTACTATTCATTGTTCTTAAATCTCATAATCTCAACGATTTGGTCGATTACTTGATTGTTTTTTGCTGATTTCATTGTCATCTGTGTTGGTCTTGTCAATTGGTAACTTGGTTGGACTATTGGTTGAGTGAGTAGGTGGTCGATTTTAACCTAATTCCTAAATCGTAAAGGTGAGATAAAATATCCTCCTAAGTTCTTTGTCTGTATACACATTACACAGAACTCTATGATTAATTGATTATGATTTATTGATTTATGTCTGTATTCAGTTCTTTGTATACACAAAGTCAGTTCTTTGTTTGTCAATCTGTCATGACTATTTGGAATAATGGAATTACATAAGATTTAGGTTAATAGGTTTCCATTTTCTCTTTTCTACCTGTCAAATTTTCTTAGTTAATAATGTGGTTCCATTTACTGACTTTATGTGTTACCTAACCTTTGCCTCCATTCGTCTTATTTCTTCAATTTATATTTTGGCATTTAGCCTTTTATTGCTTGTTCACTATTCAGAATCACAAGTATAAGAAAAAACTGAAAACTTGTTCACTTGTTTTTAAGTTCATCTTCTTATTTGTTTAGGTTTGGTTCAAATTACATGCCTCCAAAAAAATTGGGACTGCCCTGATCAAAACATATATATGTGAAGGGGAAAGGATGAAGCATGCATAAAGGATCCGAATGGAAGGGGCCATGGAAACAAAGAAGCAGGAGGACTTGAGTTTTTGTTTTTAAAATGCCACGTCAGATTGATTTTTTCTAACTTTGTTACATTTTGATTTATTTTGCCTTTTTTAATTATTAAAAATATAAAATTCGATACTAATTAAACAGGAAAAGCCCAAATGGGAAGGGCCGAAACTCCATAACTAAAAACGGGCCTATCAAAACCCTAAAAAGCCCACTATAAATTCAGCACTTGAGCTACTAGGGTTTCTCGTTGTTTTCATTTCTTGACAGCCTCTCTGCTCTCATCTTCCCCTGCGAAACTCAAGTTCAGAGAGTAAAAATGGCGGATTCATTGGTCTTACGCGGTACAATGAGAGCCCATACGGATTGGGTCACCGCCATCGCCACCCCAATCGACAACTCCGATATGATTGTCACCTCTTCCCGTGACAAATCGATCATTGTTTGGCGTCTGACCAAGGAAGACAAGACCTACGGTGTTGCCCAACGCCGTCTCACTGGCCATTCTCACTTTGTCCAGGACGTTGTTCTCTCCTCTGACGGCCAGTTCGCTTTATCTGGTTCATGGGACGGCGAGCTCCGTCTCTGGGATCTCAACGCCGGAACCACGGCACGACGCTTCGTTGGTCATACCAAGGACGTCCTCTCTGTCGCATTCTCAATCGACAATCGTCAGATAGTGTCTGCTTCACGGGACAAATCTATCAAACTCTGGAACACTCTCGGTGAGTGCAAATACACAATCCAAGACGGCGATGCACACAACGATTGGGTTAGCTGTGTTCGTTTCAGCCCTAACACATTGCAACCAACGATTGTCTCGTCTTCTTGGGATAAGACGGTGAAGATCTGGAACCTGACTAATTGTAAGCTGAGGTCAACTTTGGCTGGACATGCCGGATATGTTAACACCGTTGCGGTGTCTCCTGATGGTTCATTGTGTGCTAGTGGTGGCAAAGATGGGTTGATATTGCTGTGGGATTTGGCCGAGGGTAAGAGATTGTACTCTCTTGAGTCGTCTTCGATCATTCATGCCCTCTGTTTCAGCCCGAATAGGTACTGGTTGTGTGCGGCCACAGAGAGTAGCATTAAGATCTGGGATTTGGAGAGCAAGAGCATTGTTGTGGATCTTAAGGTTGATCTCAAACAAGAGTCTGAAATGGCAGCCGAAGGCACAGCTACTCAAACTAATGCTGGAAAAACCAAGGTTCTTTTTCTTTTCATGCTGTATTTGTTTTTAGCTAACATGCGATCTCTCTTACCCAAAAGAAATGTTAGGTTTGATTTTGCACATAGGTTAGGAAAAATCAAATGAGATAGTTGCAATATTGATAAAACTTACACAGACCCTGATCAATTATCAACAAGGAATATAGATAAATGTGGATATGAATCTTTCCGATGAAGTAAGCTGTTCTTGTTCCTACTTGCTAGTGACATGTTAATTGAATAGATACAAGATCTTATATATATATATATATATATATATATATATATATATATATTGTTGTTGCCACTCTTCTTTCAGAGTTAGGAGTTTGAATACAACAAGTATGTTATGTTAATATAATAAAGGCATGATCTTGTTTTGACACGCTTGTATTTCAAATTTAGGAGTTTGGATACAAATACGTTGGATAGTTTTTTGCTGACCATAATTTGAATCAACTCTTTAACCAACATCTATCAAGAAAGATGGTTTGGGAGAATGAAAGTAGTCTTTGTTTTTGAAGTATTGTCTGATTGTGTTCTTGACTCTGAAAGTTGAACTTAAATCTTGGTCAGTTAATGTAATACACTGTATTTTAGCTTATTGTGGATGCCATTCAATGGAAATTAACATTGGGTTTGGTCATATATTAGTAAAATGTGTACTATTTGTCTAGAATTTATCTACAATGCTCTTTTAAGAGATGAAAATCAAAAAAGAAAGAAACTTTCTTCAAGAGAATTTTGCTTTCTTGAATTACTGCCTTTCTTGCAATGTTTTATAAGGATTTATTCTGTTTCAAGTTGTCTGGTCTTACTTTGACAATATTGTAGTTTTTTCTGTTGCTCTCATCAAGATGGGTTTTGGTTATTAGCATTCATGTTTGGTGCTTGGAATGGTGTTTGATAAATTCAGGTTATTTACTGCACGAGCTTGAGTTGGAGTGCCGATGGAAGCACTTTGTTTAGTGGGTACACGGATGGAGTCGTTAGAGTTTGGGGGATCGGTCGCTACTAGAAAGAAACAAAAGAGAGTAAGGATGTGTTTACTTACAAATACCAGCTTGCTTTCTTTCTTTCTTTAAGCTGTGTAGCGGTTGTTTCAGTTTTTTGGAATATTATTGGATGCTATTTTGGATTCAAGGTTTCACTTTCAGTTTGTTGGAGACCAACCCATCTTATTATTGCTTTCAACATAAAATGTGTTGCTTATTGCTCTGCCTTATTCATGCATGTCTGAATCTTCTTTGCTTTTTAGAATGTAAATGTTTAGAGAATTGTTATGTGGCAAGGTTTTACCATGTCTTTTTGAAATTCATCATCAATTACAGCTTTTCAGATAAAAAAAATATTTTGTATATACATCCTCACTCTCTTGGTGTTTATTCAACTTTTTATAATCTATATATACTCTACTTGCTTATGATGTCCACATAATATTGCTTTTACTTGTTAATCAAAAAGCATACTAATAATATATGTTTTAAAGAGTGATTTTTTATAAGGATCAGTTAAAGTGAGAGGGTTAAATATGTAAAAAGAGAAGATTTATGTTTGAGTTCATTAAAATTTTAAAATGTATATGGGAATTGACTTTCTTATGCCTATGAGTGAGTTTATACATGTATCTTTAAATAAATTTTTTAACGATTTAGATATGAACATTTCATTAACCATTGTTTTCTATTTATACTATATTATAAAACATATGACATAAATTCTTAAAAACCATTTTTATGTATAAAGCACTGTTTATTAATGCATGTTACTTAAAACTCAAGATTACAAATAAGTTGTATGCAAGTACAACGTATTAAAGTTTCATATCTGAATTTGTATAACTAACTGCAGATAAACATAATCAAATACTAGATAAACATTTTATTTTAAATATAAAAAATCTAAAATATAATTAGGATAATCATTGAGTTATAACATAATATTTAATTATTATCTTTATAAAATATTATATTAATAAACCAAAAATAAATTATTTTATTACTAAACTTAAATTAAATTATAATAAACAAAAATAAAGAAATTACATAAAAAATTGAGAACTTTTAAATAGTTGATTTGATATTAACATTGATATATTTTTTTTTTCAAATTTTTATGATATCTTCAAATTTATATTTTATTTAAAAATAAAATCATTATTGCTTTATTAAAAACACATAAAATCGTATTATAACATCGATAGAGACATAATAAAATAGAACATTAAAATTGAGATGTATCTCGCCGCATTGCACGAGCACTCTTCTAGTCTTTTACTAATACTAGTGTTAGACATCGGCACGACGATATGAATTTATGTAAAAACAATGTGACATTTGGTTTTAATAAATATCTTAAATAAATGGACAAAGTTAGATAACCAAAATAACATTATAATTTAAAAAATTTAACTATTCAAATCTTATTATACAATTCAAACATCTACCATTTTCCTTTTTATTCAATTAAAATTTATTTATTTTATCGATTTTCTCGAAAGATATGAATTGAGTGTATACTTTAGCCAAGTAACCATTTTAATTTTCAAATGCGTAACTTTTTCTTTTATATATTCACAATCTTTCTCCAATCTCTTATATGATCCATAACGTGAGTTTACATAAACAATACCATAATTCAAATATCATAACATATTTCTTACATCTATTATTTTTCTTTTATATATATATATATATATATATATATATATATATATATATATATATATGAGCGATCAAATGAAAACCACTCTCATTTGTAAAAGTCGTACAAACCATTCTCATACGTCGATTTTATTGTTTAATCTTATGAAAAAAATTTCATGAAATTGTTTAATCTTATGAAAAATTGTTTCATATAATACTTTTTTTGATGAATTTGTTTCATATATGATTATGAAATTGTTTCATATGATATTTAATGAAATTTTAATGAAACTGTTTCATGTATTTCTCTAATATTAAAATAATGAAGATGATAATATCCATGATTAACACCCTCCACAATAATAATGGTTAATCAACCTCTCATAATTACAAAAAAATGAACAAAATGAAAAATTATTATTGGTTGAATGTGGTTTTTACGGTTTTTACAAATTGAGTGGTTTTTATTTGAACGCTCCTATATATATATATATATAGAGAGAGAGAGAGAGAGAGAGAGAGAGAGAGAGGGGCAAGATCAAATGTTAACCAAAAATTTTGTGTTAACTTTGCAAACCATGTCAACCAATCAAATTTCATTTTTCTATTAGGTTTCTAACATGTTCACAATTTAATTACAAGAGTAATTCAGTATATTGATTTGCTATGTAACTCCCAAACAATTAATGGGGAGTTACAAATCATAAAATCCCAAAAACTATGCATTTATAATATTTATATTTTTTTAATCTTGATTTTCCATGTTCGTTGTTTTATGAGTTTTTCATTCGTAAAGGAAACACGATAGTAAAATCCTCGATATCGCTCAAGCTAATATAGATAAACGCAATGGAAAAGAAAGCGACAACATTGAGAAGATTAATAAGGTTTATGATGACAATCGGAGTTCGAGTTCAGGAAGTGAAGAAATTAACCAAAACGAATGTCTTGGTAATGGATTAATATTTTTATTAGACTTGCTCTAATCGAAATTATGTTCATTATGATGTGTTGTGTTTTTTGTAATTCATATTGCCTTGATAGTTTTTTTCTTTAATTGCATCATGTGTTCATAGCATAGAGGTCAGAGGCGGAAGGCCTGTTGGGCTATTAGGGGCCATGGCCCCTGAGGTTTTTTTTAGAAGTACATTACATGTMTGATCCATTTAAGGTTTTTTAATAATAAATTTTTTTTGGGCCCCCCTACTTTGATCCTGATTCTGCTTCCATTCCAAAGTTACATACTTCCATTCCAACTTTCCAGGTCAGTGCTCTGTGCGACCGTACGACCGCGATTGTACGAACCTGCGATTGCATGTGCRACTGTGCTGCTGTATCGAGTATCGACTTCGACTTCGACGGTAACTCCTCCGGCTTCGGCGGCATTCCTCCAGCGACTTCGACTTCGACGGTAACTCCTCCGGCGACATCGACGGTAACTCTTATTGCTCTGCTTCTTGACTTCTTCTCCCCATTCCCATATTCTGCCTGTATCGACT